GGTATGTCATTTTAACATATATTTGGAATAATTAAACATTATTTTTATAGTTTATAGTTTATAATTTATAATATTATATCCACTTTTATGGTTATTTGTTATTCAGGTATCAAAGCTTATGATCAATGATTCACACACAGTAACTGGGGTGAGTGAGCTTTGTTATAAAATTACAAGTTTTCAACACTCAATCAGAATGAAGAAAGATTGGTCAAAATCTAACTTTGACTTTTTTTATCAGGTTATTTTAGCTGATGGAACACAAGTTCAATCTTCAGTTGTTTTATCAAATGCTACCCCTTACAAGACTTTCATGGTAACTTTTTTATTTTCGTTCTGTAAATATTTTGTAACTTGAGCTACAAGTAATTAAATTAATTACACTTTTATAAATTCTGAAACAGGAATTAGTACCTGAAAATATTCTCCCTGATGATTTTACACGTGCTGTTAAACACTCTGACTATAGTTCCGTAAGTTTATTATTATTATTATTTTCGATATCAAATATTATTCTTGTAATAAATTTTTATGATTTATAAAAATGTATTAAACAGGCAACCACTAAAATCAATTTAGCAGTTGACAAATTGCCAAATTTCAAGTCTTGTAATTTGAATTATCCTGAAGCTGGTCCTCAACATATGGGAACCATTCACATTGGTTCTGAAAGGTTTGCTATTTTTCTTTCTTTCATCTTTTTATATTTAATTTAAATTCTTATTATATAAAATAATAAAATAATCATATTTGTTCTTTAGAATGGAGGAGATTGATACTGCATGTCAAGAATCAATGAGTGGGCTTCCATCAAAAAGGCCTGTAATTGAAATGACAATTCCTTCGGTTTTAGACAAGACTATATCTCCACCTGGTATTTTATTGTATAAACTTTTAAGTTTTTATTTATTTATTTAGGTTTTGGTAAATAATAGAAAAATATTTTTGAATGATTTTTTGAAGGGAAGCATGTTATCAACTTGTTTATTCAGTATACACCGTATAAACCTAATGATGGAAGCTGGGAAGATCCTGCATATAGAGTGAGTTTTTATATTTTATAAAAATACATTATTAAAAATTACAGATAAACTGTGTATTTTATGATTATTAAGTTTATTACTGATGTTTTTCAACATGTTATTGTGGTATGACATTTGATTTTTCAGAACTTATTAACTGGGAACAATTTTTTTGTAGGAATCGTTTGCGCAAAGATGTTTCAGATTAATTGACGAATATGCCCCTGGCTTCAGTTCATCGGTTATTGGCTATGACATGTTGGCTCCACCAGACCTTGAAAGAATAATTGGTCTCACAGGTAAATTGAATATATAAGTTTAAAAAAAAAGAAACTTTCAAAGGGGTAAATTCGTAATTTTGTTAAAAACATTGGATTTGACAGGAGGGAATATTTTCCATGGTGCAATGGGGTTGGATTCTCTTTTCCTCATGAGACCTGTAAAAGGATGGTAAGTGTCAACAACCAGTGGCCCTCTCTAATCATCATAATTTTTTTCTGAGTAAATTACATATTTGGTCCCTAAGTATAGCTGAAATTTGCAAAATCGGTCCCAAAAAGTATTGTCTTTCAATTTCGATGCTTATTTGAGGTTTTTGTAACATTTTTGGTCCCTGTTCTGAAATGACTATAATTTGGGACCAAAATTGCAAAATCAGCTATGCTCAAGGACCAAAAATGTAATTTACTCTTTTGTTAATTCAGGTCAAATTATAGAACACCGGTGAGAGGATTGTATCTATGTGGGAGTGGGGCCCATCCGGGTGGTGGTGTGATGGGTGCACCAGGGCGCAACGCTGCACGTGTGGTTATAGATGACATCAAAGGGTAAAATGGTAAATTGTTTATCATCATTGATTGTAGTCTAGTACTAACATGTAGTGTTACTTCATCTATTTTTTTTATCACAAATCTTCTTGTTTTTTTATTATGAGTAAACGGTGTCTTGATTTAATAATTTTGTTGCAAATTCCATGAAGGAATAATGTTTAAGTTGTTTTTCCATGGGATAATGACAAAAATGACAAAAGAATGGAGTGTAAATTTAAGAAATCGATGCAAATCACGTTGCACATCTTTCCAAAAGGAAAACGCAATATGGAGTGATATTTGGGCAAATTGCATGTTCATGTTATCCAACTAATTCCGAAATTGGGCTCAACTGGGTTAGTGCAAGTAGTAACACTGATAGAATGATCAACATGGGAAGTATAAGTGGAGTATAGTTGCCAATAAAAATAAAAGTTGATTGTACTCCAAGACTGCAGTTTGCATCTCTAAACCGTCTGTTGAGGAAAAAGAGTGAGGGAAAACTTCCCTTTATCTTGGAACATGGGAAAAAAGTGAGGGGAGTCTATCCCCCACTCTCTGTCTTCGTATTTTTTTTTCAGTTTTTTTAATATTTATTAAATTATATACCTTCTAAAAAACTATAAAAATATATCAAAATTTATGGTTTTTAATTCCCTACAAAATAAATAATATTTGTATGAAATAAATTAAAAAAAATAATAATAAAAAGTGAGATTCTTCCCATACACATTCTGAGTTTTGAGTTTTGGTGATGGAAAAAATAAATAAAATAAAAGCTGATGTGACAGACAAAAAGTGAGGGATCTTTTCCACACACCCTCGGGTCTAATGGTTGTAGCTACAGTGACGTAGTCAGAATTTTATTTTACGGTAGGCCAAATAATTTACAAAATATAAACGACTAGCAGAATAATTCAAAAACTTGCTACAACAGTTCTTTAAAAATTGTTTAAGATTAAAAATAACTTAGTTAATTGATTAATTCAGAAAATAGAAAAAAAAAATAATAACGAATTTGATGAACAATGATGTGATCTATTCAAAAACTTGCAACCACAATTCTTTCATCAACATACCGTAGCAAAAAATATTCTCTTTATATAGAATTTGAAGTTTTTAATGGATGGATCATATCACAATTCATGATTCCTAATTCCTTTTATTTAACAAAAAGATATATATATATATATATATATATATATATATATATATATATATATATATATATATATAACTTCAAATTTGTGTGGATGGGCCAAGGCTCACTGTTACATCTATGTGGCTACGTCGCCACCGTGTAGCTATGGAAAAATGTGATTACGACATCTTGAAAACCCTAAACCTGACTAATCTAAAGAAAACATGAAATAAGTCATTTAATAAAATCCCTAATCATATTTTGAAAAAATCTCATTAATTTGTGAAAAAAAGAGTAGGATAGTATAAATAAATAGATATAAATCTACAATGAACAAAAATGTTTAAAAAGAAAAACATGAAAAAATTGTTTGAAAATATATTTTTTAAATGTTTTTGTGATATCTCCTTAATTTGGCAAGTATAAATTAAAATAAAATAACAGTTAGATGTCGACAATTATGTCTTTTAAGAATGACAATGATGCCTTCTGGCATGTGGAGAACCTAAAAATGAAAATTAAGGGTATATCACTGTAAAAATATATGACAAAAATAAATTTTATTAAATTAAATAATTGATGAATAAAATAATAAATAAAATAGTAAAATAAAATAAATAGATATGCTATTTGTTAGTTCGTGGAGTAAAATCTACAATTAATTTAGCTCAAAATTTTAGTATTAGTCTAATATGTTTAATGATAGTTAATTTGGTAATTTGGGAAAAGACTTGGTATTTGACCAAGATTTAACCTAACTTCTTTGAGGATCATTTTGTTGGAAACTTTGGTAGAGGAGTTGATAATGAAAATATAATGAGAAGCTACCTAGTTATGTTTATTGGTGGTCAAATTAGAAAGATTTTTAATTGGAGGACGTTATTTGTAAGATGTAGAAAGACTAGACATAACACACTCTTTTCTCTCGAATGCAACATATTTGAGAAGGAAGAAGGAAGGTTGAAGGTGATTTTCTCCACGGAATGAGCTTTAGAGAGAGTTTGAAGTAACTTAAGAATAATCGCCTTTGGACCATTAGAAAGTAATCTCTCACGTGTTCTTCACATTTTCAAACTAGGGTTTGGACTTTGGAGGAAACTCCAAATCCAAAAATTTATTATGTTAGGTTTGTTTAATGAAGGTTTTATGTTAGTTTTAGCTGTTAGGTTGCTAATCTACTTCCATCTCTCTCATATTCCTAACATGATTTTGAGCATAAATGGTTTTTTTGGGGCTTCAAAGCCCTAACAATGGTGAAATCTGAAATTTCAACTTATTTTCATGAAATTGATGTGGTTTCTAATCCATCATTTATTAGAATTTGCATAAATGCATCTATTTTTGGGAAATTAACTTTGATTTAGGGCTTCAACGGTGATTCAAGTTTCACTTACTTTGTAATTAATTTTATAAAATACAGCTCTTGTTTAGAATTTATATCCTCACTTACTTTGTAATTAATTTTAATATAAATCAGAAACTACTTATGTTTTTTTATAAACATTATTGTGGAGTGTTTAAGAATCTTTTTATATTTTATAAAATAAAGAATTTAACGGATTTAGTTAAAACCTGATAACCTATTATGGCAAAATCGGATTTGAAAAAAATAGCGAACTAATATATTAGACGATTACAATTTTTACCTCGTGGAAAATGAAAAAGCAAAATGAAAAAAAAAAAAAAATGGTGTAGGAATGAATATTAGGGACGCATTCCTACTCGAATAGAAAAATATGATTTATTTCTGCAGTAAACAGTGTTTTTGGATCGGAATGGAATCGTCCATTCCATTCCCTCCTCAAATACTTCAATGCCCAAAAGAGGAAAAAGAAACAGAATAGAAGATTTGTTCGCCTGATTCTCCCAATGGTAAAGATTCGGTCAAAATAATCAAGTCAACGCTATCCACTTGACGGGGACAAAAGGGCAAAATCGTCCAAATCTTAACCTACTTCCCCAGCAAGTTTCTTAAAATAGCGTCTCCATAACCTTCTTCAACCCTAAAAACGACGGCGCCTTCATCTCATGACCACCGTCTCCGCCGTAGACAGCGACGACGAAGAGATCAATCCGGTCACAATGCTTTTACTAGACAACGACGATGATGCTCAACAGCAAAACGGTAAGAAACCCGAACTTGCTCCGACACCCATTCAACACCAAAACTACCACCTTACGTCAATCGATTCCACCGTCGTAATCCGCCAACTTCCCTCCCAAGGCCTCTCCTTCCAGCTCTGGCCAGCCGCCGCCACTTTCGTCAAACTCCTCGACAGCTACCACGCCTCCAACGCCGATCCATTCTCCGCCGCCATCACTACCGCCAAACGCCGTCCACGCCTTCGCATTCTGGAGCTAGGATCCGGAACCGGCATCGTTGGGATCGCCGCCGCCGCCATTCTCGGCGCTGACGTCACCGTGACGGATCTCCCTCACGTGCTGGTAAATCTCAAGTTCAATGCTGACGCTAATTCCGAAGTATTAGCCCCACGCGGCGGCGAAGTCCACGTGGCGCCGATGAGTTGGGGGGAAACGGAAGAAATGGAAGCGATAGGGCGGGAATACGACTTGATTATTGGTTCTGACGTGGTTTATCATGATCATCTCTATGAGCCTTTGCTTCAGACGTTGAAATTCTTGTTGTTGGACGGCGGAGGAGATGGCGGTGAGAAGGTGTTTTTGATGGGGCATTTGAGGCGGTGGAAGAAGGAATCTGGATTCTTTAAGAGAGCGAAGAAGTATTTTCAGGTTGAATTGATTCATGAAGATGGTCCATCTAGTGATTCTAGAACTGGTGTTGTTGTCTACCGTTTTGCGAAGAAAGATGCTGTTTTCAGATGATATACCTTCTTAAAGATGTGCAAATCTCTAACTTTCTATAGGCAATAATACTTGTAACGTAGAAATCATCAATGCACACCTGGTTTTGCGTTATACTAATCTCAAACTCGATTTAATGGATATCCTGGAGTCATGAGACTTGAAATGTCGCGAATAGCTCCTGCTCCTAATATATACGATTGTACCGAACAAAGTTTTGATAAAAGTAGGCACGTGTTCCACACGTGCACCTTATTCAATAAGAGTAGTACCTTTTGGAGGATGAAGCTAATTTTTTTTTTACATCACAATATTTCATTGGTGACCTCAAATTCGGGCTCGTTTACAGGGTAAATTCAGTCTCAAAGGGGATTTTCAGTGAAAACTTTCTACATATCGGGCATAATTGCAAGAGCCAAATTTAACAGGTTTAAAGATTTAAAATCTCGACCTCAAACTCACATGTGTATCAAACCCGATGCATCAATCCAGCTAAGTTAAATATCACTTGCAACGGAGCTGATTATACCGCAAATAACACCGCCACGGCACTACGAGACTCTCTCAAACCTTATTAGTTTATTGGGAAAATGACTTAAAGTGATAATTAATAACACCACCATGGCACCAACAATTACAATTTTTTTTTGGTTAAAATGACAATGAGAACTATTATTGCCCTTGTTACATCTAACTAAAAAAGCTTACTTTAATCATTTTTGTCAAACCACAAATGATAACTATTAGCAACGTCATATTATTTTGTAACATTGTCATTTTAATCGGTAAAAATCGAAGTAGTTGAAGTATCGGTTTAAAAAAAAATGACTACAATAGGCTTTTTAGTTAGACGAGGCAGGGGCAATAATGATTTTCATTGTCACTTTAACCGATAAAAATTGTAATCGTTGGTATTTAAAACCAAAATAAAAGTTGGTTTGTTTATTAGATACAATAAAAAAAAATTAATGACCTAAAAAGCAAATTTTCGATCATTGTTTGCCATTTTAAATCGTTTTTCCCACGTTAATATTATATTAAATAACGATCAATTATAAGTAATTAATAAATATGATAATAAAATTAGAAATTGTTGTTGACTCTTCCGGGGATAGAAAGGACTCTACGGGTCGTTTTTAAACCTGACTTGAACTAACTTCTATGGGATTGGTAACGAAAATGATATTTGCCCAAATCCAGAATCGATCACTGAACTGGTATATGCATATATGGTATTGGATCGATACCGATATTGTTTCTAGGTATTTGATACTAGTGATGAACTTTTTGACTAGTAATGGGAACTGATAACTAGATTGGTTAGACTACACCGGTTCCAGTTATTTAGTCAAATACGTGATTGGAACCAATATATGTTTTTATGCAGTTGGTACAACTAGTTAATGCTTTAAGCTGAAATGATTAAAATAATACCACATCAACCAATAAAAATTAACGCAATACATTAAAAAAAAGAATAATGTGTTTGTATAATATAAAATGAAATACAAGCAATAAGTCAATGCTGAAACAACATAAATTCAGTTTTGATACCTTGTGTTCTGGACCTGTAACTCAATCAATATGTAACCAAATAATGTGTTTATATAATCTAAAATAAAATAAAAACAGTTAACTGCATGTTGAAAAAAAAATCATATCATTTCTAATTCAAATGAAAGAGTTATGGAAGTTTAAAGAATATGACAGATTCAATTCAAACACCTTTTAGGCTAGTCCCGATTTTTTACCTAGAACCAACAAAAACCTGAAACTAAACAAAATATTTTAGTTTTTGAAAAAGTGGAAACCAAACCATCGATTTTATGTTCAGTTTCATTTTTTTGGTTTTTATACGGTTTTTCGGTTTGTGGTTCGTTTTTTGCTCACTCCTAAATTTAAGAACCGAAAACCGGCCCTCTTAATGAAAATTGGTCCAGTTCGGTCTAGTATGTCCGGGTCAATTGCTCATCCCTATTGGGTACCATCCCTCGAAACCTGATTTTCATATTGTACAAGCCTTTAAGTTGTTGATACAATTCCATAAACATGGAATACAAGGATCAAAAGCATAAAAAAAATCCTAAGGTGTAAGCGGTACATTACAAGTTTTGTAGCACTAAGTACCTTTCAATAGATAAACCAAAAAGAAACAATGCCTCCACTATCGGTGTTCTCAATTAAGTTCGATAATCATATAATATATAACCTCAAGTGTTAAATGCGGACTCGAGTGCCATGGTCAAAACGTATATGTCCAAAATATCTAACAACATAACGATTAAAAATTATAGGCCGATTACTTTATAAATAAACTCGAGAATACTAAAAAAAGTATTCAAAATTACCATTTAGTCATCCGAGCAACAATAGAGAAACGTAACAAGTTTTGTTTTCACCAGTAAAGGATGTCAAACTCTTTAGTATTAGACACTTTTAGTTCATTCAAATACATTTTTAACTCGGTATCCATTTGTCACACCCCCAAACCGAGACGGCGGAAACGTTCGGGGGTAGAGGACGTCATGTATAGTATCACAACAATTGAATAATAGTAATCAAAGCAACAACAACCATTGTATTAATAATATAGTGTTTACATTGTATTTGAATCACATACGATTGACTCCAAAAGTAAATAGCAAAATAAAGACTTAAAGCTACTATGCTCCGTCTTCTAGAACTTGCGCGAGTACCTGTCTACTAGTGCCCTGAGAATACAAGTGGTTTTGAAAGTGTCAACATTAAAGTTGGTGAGTTCATAAGCGTTTTGTTTTAGAAAACATGTCCTTTGTTCTTTGTAAAACATGATGTGTTTCTCCAGGAAATCCTATATCTCCTGATAGGATGGATGATATGAAAAATGACTCATACTAATTCCTTCTACGAGTACTTAGTGTATACAAGTTATATACAATCCAGACCGAACAAACAATCGATTGTATGGTTCTGCCCCAAGCCCACAACCAAACAAGGAACAGGAAATGGGGCGGAAGGCATACATCCCATTGTTTGTCGGATCCTCATTGTATATAACCCGGACGTATTCACTAGGTACTTACAAAGTTAACTGTAATGACCCTTTTAGAAATGTAAGTATGTTCTCCCAGAAAATCCTATATTTTTTGATGTAACGACTTGTAAGTTCCTTTGACTCATACTTAGAAAAGTAATGTAATGTGACTGTATTTGTAGTGCGACCCTTTTTGTATGCATGTACTCTATTGTATGTTCTCTAAAGAATGTATGTTTTATATTAGAAAATAGTGTACTGTACTTGTATATAGCGACCTGACCCATACCTGTTACCCCTTATATTTTCTTAGTTTATACAGGTCATATATAACCAAGATCGAATAAGTAATAAATTGTGTGAATCTGTTCTAAGCCCACAACTAAACAAGGAACAGGAAATAAAGTAGAAACCACACATCCTATTACCTATCAGGCACTATAATTATAAATAACCTTTGACACATAAACCAAGAACTCATAGTGTTAACATTATAGGTCCCTCTTGTTTTGTATGCTCTTGTTACTTGTAAAACTGTATAGTCTTATTATTAGATAAAACTCGTGAAGTACTGTTAATCCCGTAAGCATCATTTAGTTGATACTATTGTGAGTTTCATATAACCATGCTAATATGACCTAGTGGCATCTACGATGTTCTTCAGGCGTCAGTATTTTATGACATTTGTCACCTCAGGTCTGCCGACCTAGCTGTTGCAAGCAGCTTTGGTGTGGGATTGTCAGTCCCGTATAGATCTATACACAAATCTCACGCTCTCCGTCCGGGAGACTCTGGTTATAATTTATAGGACTTGAACCTGTACCCTGGGGGTACAATGAAGTAGTGTCTCACAATCCTATATTAACTAGTATACACGTAGTGTTATAGTGTTCTCTTGTGTTAGTAATCGTTTGTATTATCCTGTAGTGATGTACTTTGTAATACAAAATAATTATTTTAATAGTGTATCCTTGTAGTAGTGAACTAGAGTAGTATTCCATAAACTATACCTATTATAGTTTAAATGTATGTTCTGTGATTTCTGTATGCATTGAAAGTCCTTGTAACTAAACAGTTTGTATAACCCAATAAAACGATGAGAAAGGTACCCTTTTGCTCGACATGTTACAAAAGGGTTAAAGATTTATTTAAATAAAATTGCATTCATATATGTATAAGACATATACATATAAACATGTACTTTGAAATAAAAGTATAAAACATTTGAAGTAGTTTGAACACTTTTTAAAATAATTTGAATCAGTTGAAACGACTTGATGTACTTTGAAAGTGTTTGAAATCCTTTGAATATTAACACAAAATTTCTTTGTGTTTTACTTGTATTCCCCCCCCCCCCCTAAAACGTTTAAAAATAGTGAAAATGTAGGGATATGAACTTACCTTAAATGTGCGTTAACTGGAAGTAGCGAGTTGTAGAGACGATCCCCGAGTAAGCGTACGCGCTAATAACGCTACCCTAAAAATAATTGTATTCGTCATCGTATTTAAATTAATAATAAATTAATTTAAATAATGGGTTAAATAATTAATTATATAAACAATACTTACAAAATTAATTTGGAATTATTGGAATTGTTGAAGTGTGAACTCGGTGCGAAAAATGGGTTTTCGGTGGGGATATAGGGTTTTCGGTGTATCCTTGGGAAAATATGAGTTTTTGAAGGATGTTCTTGAGGAGTGCTTGGAGATTTGAATAATATTATGAATATTTGAAGATGGGATGAATGTTCATGAGGAATTCGGTTGAAGATTTGAAGATTCTGGGCAAAATTCTTATGACTTTTGAGAGAAAATTTGGCAAGAGTTCGGTGGCAAAAGTGAGAAATGAATTGGGAAATCCGTTAAACATATATGTATATATATATATATATATATATATATATATATATATATATATATATATATATATATAGCTAGGTTCAGGTGTTTAAAGTAATTATTATGTTATTGTATGCATAAATGTGGGTCAATCAAAATTAAATAAAAA